GAGAGAGAGTCGTTGTAGGAGTGGGAAGCCTCATCTTTCTCCTATCGAGTGCCTGATGGTTTTGAGTTGCTGACCTGTGGATAGCAGCCCAACGTGTAACACACCATACCACCACATCTCTAGAAACTCTCACAGCATTTGTAATTACCAGGACTTTTGTTTTTGTAATATGTTGTAGAACTACTTATCTGTAATAATGTCTGTGCTTTAAAAGTTTCCTTTATGAACATGACCTTTTTTAAGAATGAGAATCATTGTATATTAGTTAATCTAGTAGAGAGAAAATATGTTGTTCTTAAAGATTTTATTAGGTCCTATCAAGTTGGCTCCACCTCAGTGATCCTCTGTATAACAATTCAATTTGCCAGCTCCTGCACCGCCTTCATAATCATTTGCTATGTTTGACTTGTTGTTGTCGACACTGTGTCAGTCCATCTCACCTGAGGATCATCTTCTTTCATTGGCCCTTTGCTTACCCAAGAATGATGATAACGTGTCCAAAGTAAGCAAGACAAAATCATGCATCTTCACTTCTAGGAAGCATTCTGGCTGTACTTCTTCCAAGACATAATTATTTGTTCTTCTACAAGTTCACAGTATATTAAACATTCTTCAACACCACAGATTGACTGATTTGTGTTACGCAGGGTGTGGCTGGGAATCCCATGGTGAAGTCTGTGCTTGACAAAACCAAACATTCGGTGGAAAGCATGATTACAACTCTGGATCCTGGGATGGCTCCATATATCAGTACGTACTTACACTGAACTGACAGCTGCGTGCTGTTCCCACAGTCTGTGGGTGTCAGCCACTGACTAATACTCAGTTCATTTTCTTAGGTCATACAGTCAGTGGGAATATCTGTTATATTCTTGCATTCAGTTGATTACCTTGGTTTACTAGCATTATCAGGCATCTAAAAAGATTGTGAAGATAATACAGAATAAACTTCTGAAGTATTACTATACATTTCTGATTTTAATTTGACTCTGATTGTACTAATGGGTTAGCCTGGCCTTATTTACCTGTTACTTTATATTCTGTTCACATTTGAAGTAAAGCTTTTAAATTTAGTTTTGACATTTTTCAATTATGTATTGCAAATAAATATCTATGCTTAATTCAGGAATCACGTTTAGTGGAAATTCATTTATTTACTAATATCGCTAGGTGTATATGAAAAAACAAAACAAAACCTCAGTCTCATTGAGTACATGCTACTCACAGCAACTTTATAGGTCAGGGTTAGTTGTCTCTGTTTACGAGACTGTAACTATTTTTAATAAAATAGTTTCAATAGCATATACTTCTCATATAATTTAATAATTCAATAATATTAAAAAGTTCTGTGCAGTCATTATCACAACTAGTCTCAGAACATTTTCTTCTAATGCTCATTATTGTTAGCTCCCCGTTTCCCCCATCCTCTCCTGCCATGCCCCTAACCAGTTGTCTTCATAGATCTGCCTATCCTGGGTTTCATATATAGAAAGTATTACACAATCATACGAAACAAACAGTACTAGACAAAGCATGAAAAACCTCAAAGAGAAATGTAAAAATATTTAAAACTGAAACAACTTTAAAATGGGTCACACGGGAGATCAATTGATAGGGTATTACATTTTAACCTAGCTGCTTCTTCCATAATCGACTTTACAATGCTCTATGTATGATAGCAAGGTTGTTAATGTCCCTTAGCTATGGTCAGAGGGGATTCCCCTGAGACCTCATCTGTGTGGGGGTCCTGCCAATGGGTTTTAGTTTTTCACTGCTATACAAAGCCCTTGCAAACCGGGTATTCACAATTTAAATTCTGATACTATTCTTCCTTTGGATTTGGCTTTTATTATTAACAGATCTTTGGATCACACAGGCTGGTGTGCTTCTTCCATGTGGACTTAGGTGACGCCTTACTTAGATGGTTACTTGTTTGAAGACAAGCTTTTAAGCCCTCAGATGCTATTCGTTCTGATAGCCAGGCACCATCTGGTTTCTTCACACTTTGCTGTATGTAGCACCCATATCTTCAGTGATCTCTTCATGAGGGCCATGTCATTAGAATGACATGAACAGGGGCATGTCTGAGCAGGGCCATGTCATAAGAATTAATTTAGCAGGGCCATGTCATAAGAATTAATTGTTCTTAGACTGGGGCTAGAATTAAGTGCAAGCCTAAAACCCATTCGTATACCTATTTTACATATGTCTCTGATTCGCTTTAGAGAAATCATAATCATTTTCTGATCGAGAACATTATAAATCATAGCCCTGGGACATAAAGTAATTCTGTTGATAGTGTCATCAATTTAGCCAGTGGTATGTAGAGTATATTTTAAAGTCCTTCTTGTTTTATTATGACATGTATTAATCTAGTAGGCAGAGTTCTGCCTTAGAATGAGTGTCACTGAAAGTTTTGCTCATTACCAGTGACCATTGTTTGTGTAAATAATGTCCAATCACTTAGGAGTTTAATTTGTGTAAGTAAACAATTCATGTGTTGCAGTCTGAAGCTGACCTATACTTGTATAATTTCCTTTTTCTTGAGCATTGTTTTAGGCTCTATGTACCACTGGCTAAATTGTGGGGGTTGCGCTCAGTCAGATGAAAGAGAATGTGCATGAATTACTGATTTGAAAAAGGATCTGTAAACCTCTAGCCAATTAACAAGAAAAAGCTGTAAGAAAAAGAATAATGAGCCAAAAATTAAATCAGCTGAATTGTATTTTGTAATTGTCCAAAGGATTCAGAAATTTGACAGTTCCATATAGTGAATTCGTGTTCATAATAATCAAGTTTGACATATTTAATAAATATATAATATGTATTCCTTTTTTCCATACGTACATGTTTTAAATGAAGAAAGGAAAAAAATGAAACATTGTGGGATGCTTGCTGTTTTCATAGGTACTATGCTGGACTTTGAAAGCAATTACGTTATTTGATTCTTGAGCCAGCCCAGTGAGGTGGGGAGTATTTTTCTATGAGGAAGCAAGCACAGTGACTTCCCAAGGCAACAAAGCTAATAAATGATAAACCCAGGTCTTTAACTCAAGACAGGAGTCTCAGAACAATCAGTAAAAGACATAAAACCAAAGAGGGAAACAAGATAAATGAGATTTCTATTGTTAGAAAATAGCAATTTATGATAGCAGATATTCATGATTAGTTTTTAAAAGTAAGCCTTGTGTGGAAAAACTCACCCTTCACTGACAGGCAGCAAAATCAAGACCATTCTGATCTAACTGGAACTTGAAGTATTTTTATATACATGTAGAAGTCTCAATTTAGCATTCTTCAGTGTGTCGTGAATGCACAAGAACCGTTGTTAGAAAAGGTTACCGCAGTTGAACTATGTTCTTTTCATCAGTTCCCCCTTCCATTGTCCCACATGGCTTTGCAATGATAGTGATTGTGTGGCTAAATTGTTAGCATTGCTATACGGTAGTTCTGAGAATTTGGTGATTCCTTGAATTTGAAATTGATGTTTTCTTCTGGTTTTTGTAGAATCTGGAGGTGAACTGGATATTGTAGTGACTTCAGATAAGGAGGTGAAAGTTGCTGCTGTCCGAGACGCCTTCCAGGAAGTCTTTGGTTTAGCTGTGGTGGTTGGGGAAGCTGGACAGTCCAACATTGCACCACAGCCCGTGGGATATGCAGCTGGATTGAAAGTAGGTAATGGATGGGGGTACCATTTTTAAGATAGAGAAACTGGCAGTTCAATCTGTTTCCACAATTCTGATAAACCTTTTATATGAAGCTATTGTTTTTACATACTGGAATAATGAGAAATACTATTTTTAGTTAAATAACAATGTGGCGTTAAGATATATTGGTGGGATTTTAATTTGTAGAGATAGAAAGGTTTTGATTATTGGAAGAAAGGAAGGGCACACAGGGCATAGAATACAGAGAGAACCCACTGCTATCAAGTTGCTTCTGCCCTCTAGTGACGATATAGGGCAGCGTCGAAGTGCTCCCAAAGGTTTCGAAGACTTACAGGAACAGGCAGCATAGCCTCTCTCCTTTAGGGGTGGGTGAATCCCAACTTGTTGACCTTCTGGTTAGCAGCCCAGTGCGAACCCCACTGCATCACCAGGACTCCTTGGAGACAGTAATTAGTCTTTGACAGTCTAACCATTCACTCACTGAGATATGCTCAGTAATATTATACTGAAATAATATTCTTGAGTCCCCAAAGCTTTTTATCATTACTTTTAGCAATACGCTTACATATCTCCTTATAGTTCGTTGGACTTTCATGTACTTGGAAGTTTACATGGTAATTCAGACCTAAAGCAGGTTGTGTATTTACCCAATGGTCTCCCTTTTCCTTTGTACTTAGGGAAGTCGATGAGCTTTTTTAGCTTACTTTCTTTAATACTTCTCCTTCCCTGTTGCCTTAACTGTTCTGCCTCAAAGACTTGGCATAAAGCTTGTGTACAACTGTATTTTGCCAGTCTTATCCTACATATTCCAAATTCTAAACTCACTGCCATTGAGTCCACGTCGACTCTTAGTGACCCTCTGTAGGAAAGGGCAGAACTGCCCCTAGGTTTCCGAGACGAACTCTTCACAGAAGTAGTACGCCTCATCTTTCTCCCACCAACATAGTGAAACCTATTAAGTCACGTTTCCAGTAATAATTTACTTAATCAAAAGGGAGACACTGCCTTAAGTTATTGATTACAAGAGAAGACTTTGAGGCAGAGTCTGTAGATTTCAGTGTGAGAGAGGTGGGTGGTAGAAATAACTTGTTTTGAAAAGACATTTTAAATTCTCAAACTCTAACCACCACATCTACCCATTTTTGAGTACTTTGTCTTCTGGCCTGTTGCCCTTGAAAAGCTTTTCAGACTTCTACCTGTAATCGCATTACTCTGATACACAATCCCTCTGGCCTACATCGTGTTAAAGTTCCAGCACAAATGGCCTCTTGTGCATATTTTTTGTCTCTTATTTTATTGTTTGCCTCAGCATAGAAGAGCAAATGAACCAGTGGATCAGCATTACAAACAGCTTCCCCACTTGACAAACCAAAAGTAAGCCCAAAGTCCTCCCAGCAAATGATTTCATCTCACTTTGTCTGTGTGTGTCTGTGTGTGTACTTTTCCTGCAATAAAACTCATTCATACATTAGCCACCTAATTTTTCTTACCATGTTCTCTTAAACGCGCATCAAAAGACTTTCACCCTCACTGCCTCATGGAGGTTGCTTTTCAAGCATCCTCCACCTTACAGCTAGCTACCAGGCATCCTATGCCCTTCTTGCCATCGATTTTTGATCATTTGTTGTTCCCTTGTCCCTGGGTTTGTTAACACCACTTCCTTTACCCCACCTCCTCCTCTCCCACAAATCCGGCTAGACCAGAGCATGTACACAGGTACAGATTAAGAGCTGGAAACTACAGGGAATACAGGACAAATAAACCCCCCATGACCAATAATGAGAGTAG